CTGATTCTGAAAATGAATTCAAAAAGGTTGCTTCGAGTCATATGTGCATGTTTTAGCATTTCCTGACAGTCAGAGGCTGCTGTATGCTACAGTTACTTTGACCCATAAAAAGTTTGTCTTTCCTCTGACTGGTATCTCTGTGTAATTGTCTCTGCGTCCCCCTCACTTATAGACCTTTGCTCTGTTAGGGACTGTCTCCCTACATATTCCACTGAGCAGTGAGGGAAGCGGCTGTGAGCTGCACTTTATTGGATGTGGTGAAGTTAAAATTTGTGTGGACAAAAAAAACACACAATGGTGCAATTTATGCCTCATCAGAGGTGTTTTCACATTGTTTCGGTTTTCCACCTCTAATGAAGAGCAGCACACAGCCGCTTCCCAAAACTTTGTCTCATCCAGAGAGTCCCAAACAAGGTAACATGTCTGCCAGACTGTCTGAAGAGAAAACAACCATATTAGGCGAGCCAAAAGGTAATGCACACTAGCCTACTGGGACAGATAGATCTTTTGCTTGAAATATTATGACTTTATTTTCATTAAATTGCAACTTTATTCTCATTATATTACGACAACACCTGTGCAGAAAGTTTTGAACATGAGCAGAAATTTGGCTGCAACACATGAGCTATCAAAGTCCAGGTGTTTATAATGACTTAAAATCATTTAATATATCATTGACATGCCACATGCACATTTAAGACACAAAAGGGAAGAGCAGCTCATGCCTACAGGTGTGATGATTTAACAGAGATAACATTAAATGAGAAAAGCTGATCCACAAATACATACATAAAGGTATGAAGTACCGAACGTAAACAATGTGAACAGCAGTGTGTAAGGGTGGTGTGTAAAGGTACAGCACTCTGGTGGCACTTTTCAGAGACTGTGTATTTATTAACATGACAATGGTGCTGCCTTCAGATGCTGCAGGGATTTGATGAACTGAAGGAGAAGCTTTTCATATAGCCTTGTATAAAGCAACTGTGGACAGAACATACTGTTCATTATATATTATTGCAGACCAGTTTATTGGCTTTCCTGCTTTAACCACATTAAATATTGTTTCTTGTGTTGATTTAGATAAATTATTTTATATTAAGCATTAATCTGTTGTTGCAGCATGTCTGCAGTGAGACATGGTTTGAAACACAGGTGCCTGATAAACTAGCCTCCTGTATCAGTAGCCTATGTGATGCTTACAGAAACAAAGGGATTTCATGAGTCAATAATTCATATACACAATTATTTTCTGTTTGTCTTGGGGAGGACACAAACAAATTTGGGACCACAAGTTTTTAGGATTACTTTGAATAATTAGCCTAATTAATCACAATTAAACATTAATGACTCTACATTTTAATAAACTATAGACTTAAGATCATTTATCACCACTGATGAACCCCACAAATAACATTATACGGTTTTAAAACCTAGGTTTGCTGTAGAAATCATCACAATGTCTGGTAGTTTGCATTTTACATGGTGCATGCTCAGCAAGGAGGCACAGCTTGACACACCTGTAGCTAATGCTCACATTTAAGACAAGTTATCAAACGCTAGATTTGCCCCCCCCGACAAAGAGTCTACCCTCACACTGGTAAGTCCACTTTACTTAGAGAATAACAATGTTATCCTAAAGGAAAAGTTTTACTGCTTAGCATAGTTAGCCTTACCCGTGTTCCCAGTGTGACTGTGGTAAGTAAGCTAACGTACCATTGAGGAAAGTATGACAAAAACTTTGAATAACTCGGTTTTGTTTGACTTTAAAACGTTTGGTTCGTCTTACATTACGTTACTGGACCTTTTCTTCTTATTTGTCTGCCTTTGTTGTGCTAAAAATACCGAAAAGAGTGATTATGTGATAACTTCGTGACGAGGTGATTTATGTTAAGCTAGTTTTTGCTAACAGGCTTTAAGCTAGTTTGGGCTAACAGGTGCTAAGCTAGTTTTGGCTAACATGTTTTATGCTAGTTTTTGCTAACAGGCTTTAAACTAGTTTGGGCTAACAGGTGCTAAGCTAGTTTTGGCTAACATGTTTTAAGCTAGTTTTTGCTTGGCAAAGTTGACGTTACAATGACGGTAAGTAAGATAGTTGTCATACACCTGACATAATATAAATGTCTTATAAAATGTTAGCATCATAATACTTTTATAATTGGTCAAATACCTCCTGTCTTCTTGCATTAGTAACGCCATTACGTTTTTGAACTGGTCTTCATGCGACATTTTTGGCACTTCCACACATAAATGGAATGCAGCTAATCATGTAATCAATTAACACCTGTGTTAGATGTCAAAATGTCCGCTGTAAGAGTGGGTTAGAAGGTTCAAAGAAGCTCATATTCAGAGAAATGACACACTAACTGTGAGCCCTAAGGAAACCATATTAGTCAAAGGTGAACACTAATGCAGCCTTTATTAGTAAAAAAAAAAATACTTTTTTTTTACTCAAAACACCTGCAATTAAATATTTAGGTTAATAAAAGAATTATCTTTAGTTATTCTACACCTTAATATTGTTAATTTGACACAGGTACGTTAGCTTTCTAATATGTAAAATTTTGTTACAGACCCATGCATTTAAATTATTTACACAGCCATATCAGTAAACACATCAGGGCAAATAAAAGTTCCAAAATTCCCCAAATAATTTTTCTGAAGCCACTTAAACCACAGACTGATTCATATCGTAATCATTTATTCAGCTGAGGGGACCCACTGCCTACAAAAGCCTATTCATATCCATATTTTTACAGATAGCATTTCTCTGCTGTATTAGTGAGACCTCTCTTTTTTATGCTGATCCATGAGTGAGTATCATAATACAATAACAGCTTAAACATTGATTTCCAGCTAGTTTTCCTAATGTGTGGTGATTCCTCATATTACTGGCATTTTCCTTATTCATGCACGTTTCTCCCCTTTGTTTATTTGTTTAAGAATGTGGGGTAAATTAATTGTGCTTGATTGGCATTAACATAGCCAAATAAGAATTTGAAATTGCTAATATTAAACGCCCTGAGGGCATCTGTGTCCCAACCCACCAGAGTACTTATCATGCCTTCCTCAGCTGCCTGGCAGCATTGTTGGAGAGAGCACTGCTTGTTGGTTCTGTAAAATACTGCTGTATGGCATTTGATTTGTTTACTATTATAGGGAAGATCAAAACAATGTGCCTTGTATACATGTATACTGGACTGGAAGAGCGTGTCCATGTCTTTGAATGTTATTCTGAATATTAATGTGTAAATACGAATTTATTTGAATATGTTATTGCTTGTCGCTGTCAGAGGAGCATATGAGAATCCCCAATATTCTGTTGTGCCTATAGGGTGGCTGCTGCATTTTTCAGCTGAGTCTCCCCCACTGGTGGAAAATGAATGAATTAGCACCTCTTGTCCGGTAAGAAATGAACCTAATTTATAATCTAATTATGATGATGTCTCAGGGATCAAATTAGCATTCTCTGTGTTTGCATATCTGGGTAAATATGGAAATCATCACGTTGTTATTCCCATTTTCATTCACACAAGAGTGCGCATGAATGTCACCCTCTTTATGGTGTGAGCATGATTATATTGTAAATATTGTCTCCTGTTTGGGAGCAGTGCATTACCGGTGCTCATCAAAGAACACATGGCTACAACTAGCCTGTTTCAATACTCATTCATCTTCTGCACTCTTAATTCTGGTGCTCAGCCAGCCTCGAAGCCTGGAATGGGGGGAAAAAGTGTTAATTAACAGCAAGCCAGCGCTCAGCCAGAGACTTCCTTTAAGTTTGCTTCCTGTATCTCTCTCAGCTCTCTGAATGATCCCAGGCCAAATAATGTGCACTGAACCACAAGTGGAGCTCATTTTGCCTTTTTAAAGGCACAAATTTGTGTCTCTCCCATTTGAAATAAATGCACTGCACATGTTCCACATGGCTCACCCATCCCTCCTCTATTCTCCCTCTCTTTCCCTTCTCTTGCCTTCCCTTCCCTCCTCCCTACCTCCCTTCATCTCTACCCGGGGCCCGTGGGAAGAACTGACTCTGGGAGCAGACAGTCTACAGCCCTGAATAAATGTATAAGAGGGAGAAGGGGAAGGGAGGGCACATCAGCAGGCAGAGAGAGAGCAAGCGGGAGAGAGAGAGAGAACATATTGAGTGTTGGAGGACATACATGCACAGTGTACAGAGAGAGTGAGATACACAGATAGAGGGAGAAAGAGACAGATAGAGAGAGAGGAGGAAACCAATTCAGCTTATAGGACCGAGAAAGGAGAGAGAGCATTTAGCTTCCTTCAAACCGTCTCTCCCTCGCCTCCCAGCACAAACACATGCTCATACACACTCCCACCCTCTCTCCCTGACACTCACACACACTTACACGCAAACACACACACATATACAGACACACACACACACACACACACACACACACACACACACACACACATACACACACACAGGCACGATTGCTTTAGGGTATACCAGTCGGCTTTGGCAGTCCTCTCCTTTGTTGTTTTTGCTTTTGGTTAGTCTCAGCGGCAGCGCGGCGTGTGCCTGTATCGCTGGGGTGGGTGCATGTGTATATGTGTGTGTGGAGTCTGCGAGGCGATGTGTGAAGGATGCCACTAGCAGTACCCAGGTAAGTCAGTTCCTTCCTTCTTTCCCTTTCTTTCTTCCTCTCCCTGCCTTTCTTCTCCTCTTTCTTTCTTTGTGCTTTTCTTTCTCTGTTCCCCTCTCTGATCTGCACTCTCTCCATCTCGCCTGGGATGCTTGCCTCTCTCCACCTACCGTGCACACCCGCTACGTACAGCTCTGCACTCTCTCCCTCTCTCTATTTCTCTGTGCACTCCCAGTGTGCTTTCTCTCTCCTTCAGTGTCTTTCTCGGTCTGCGTTACAACGTCTCCTCCTGACTGTGCTCTCGCCATCCCTGCTTCCCTCGCCCGTTTCCTCCGCTCTCTCTCTCTCTCTCTCTCTCTCTCTCACACTCACTCACTCACTCTCTCTCCTTCTCGCGCTCTCTCTCTCTCTCTCTCTCCCTCTCCAGGCTGCGCCTCATTGGTGTGTCCTGATTCTCTTTTTCCATTAGGCTCCAGGCCCATTGGTCGCCTGCCTTCCAACCATTATCTCCTCTCCTCCACCCCTCTGTCATCCTTTCTCCCTCTCGCTCTCCCTCCTTCCCTCATTCCCAGTCATCTCTCAAGTCGTAAAAATGATTTGCATGCAGGAGGAGAGCAGAACTTTGCAGTGAGCACAGTAAGTGAATTGGGAGAGAGTAAGGGACAGAAGTAAAGGAAAGACTGAAAAAGGAGAGGAAGCGCATTCTGGAGAGCAGGAGGAAAAGTTTAAAAAGAAGACTGCAGTTGGTAGGTAACTTTGGCTTGTTTAGGGCATCTTGTGTCTTTGCTTTGCACTGATTGAAGATGTAAGGTACATGTATAGTCTTGCAAAGATTATATTTGAGTGCTGCTTTAAACTGATCGTTAATTCTGCACATTTCTCTTGTGTTCATCGCTTTAGTGTTACTGATTCTTCAGATGTTTAGCAATGTGATCTTGTGGCAGTGGTGCAGTGAGTTAAGTGAGAAAAAGTAACAGCTGGCTGAGGAAGGTGATTTGGTAGTTTATTGTTCTTGTCGCGTAGCTCTGGGATGGCTTATATTGTGTCTTTGTTACATTGCTCTTGTCTCTCTAGAATTGCTTTACCTACTGAATATTAATAATTTTAATTGTCCCTCTTGAATGCAGTGTTATTTCACTAAGAATCATGTAGAAGTTTCAGTCTGCTGTGAGCACCCATTTGAAAGTTTGTTCTGTAAGTTTTGTGCTCCTGCTGTAGATAATGCTGCACTGCAAACTTCAGCTGTGTTAGAGGATTGGACAGTATTCTAGGGGCATTTGTTATCACTATACATTTGTTTAGCTATTGAATACAGTACTGTTATTATTATAAAATGTCGTTTTTTTATTATTTTATTTGGTTGTTGCTCTGGTGCTTTTATCCCTTGCTAAGATCAGTCTCTCCTGTTGTGCGATGTGTTCTATTTGATGTTAGTCTGAGGTCTAGGAGGTAGCGAGGACGCTGTTTGTCATCCAGGGAGTTGAGGCATTGTGACTACCAGAAAACAATTAGAAGTAGTGGAATAGAGACTGAGAGAAGAGACTGAAGGAGGGAAAGAAGAGAATTTGAAGTTAGAAGAGAGCTTGAGTTCCCAACTTCAAATAGAGTGAACTCTTTGGTTGAGTTGCATGCATATAAACAATCACACACGCACATGTGCATGAGTCCCTTAGTCCCTCTATATTTCATCTTACACAAAGTATTTTTTCTGATTTGTGTGTGAGAAAAGACAATGCAGATGTTTGTGTGTGTTCCCGTGGGTGGCATATACTGTATACACACACACACAGCTAAGGCAGATGCGCTGCAACATGTTTCATTCTGTCAAGACAAACAAATGTCTGATACAAAGTGAGATACTTGTGTCTACTCTCCCTTGCCCAAAGTGTGTCAAAATGAGTGTTTCTTATGTCAACAAATGATGGAGACAATGTTTGTGACATCTGGGGATACAGTGAGAGGTTGTAACAGTGCGTTCCCCATACCAAGAAGATTTTTATATCACAAAAAATCAACCTACAGGATGTAGGCATAGTAAATGCCTTCTTTTCACAATCCATTTTTGGTATCTGTACACCTTTTAGTTTTATAGATTCAGTCTGAGCTCAGTCTTTTATTGTGAATCGTTAGAGAGAAGGTGGTGAATACTGCAGCTATTCCATCCTCTCACAATTTCCACAGTATTGTTAATGCTTTTATTACAGTTTCTGTCCAAATTGTGAGCTCTTGTGTTAAGTATAGTGTCCTTCAGTGCCCTGTATCTCTCAGAGGGGTTGTGTCACTTTATTGAGGCAGTCGGGACAAGCCGCTTGGCATGAGGTGAAGTCATGTTCTCTGGGATGTTCCTTTAGCTGGAAGAGGAAGGAAATGTCTTGCTTGTTAGGGGGAGACTCGTGTTGGTGTGCCGAGAGTGTGTGCAACTGTGTGCGTGTGTGTGCCACCATGGTGCCTGATGTGCTTTGCTGAGCGAGCCGAGGACAGGGAGACAGCTGAATGTGATTAAATTATAGAGGGAAAGCACGCTACCCGGGTCTTACTGCGACCAACATTGCGGGAACCCCCCCTGCCTCCAATCTTTTCTCTCTGTCTCTCTCTGGTATGATAGAAGAACCCAGCCCCTCATAATCACAACAGTCTAGTCAGAGCTGGAGGGGAGAGGAAATTGGGTGTTGATGGGATTGCTGAATATGGACTGTAAGGTCATAAGAAATGTACAGATGCATTGTAATTAGGTACTGTAATGTGGGACAGTTAGTCCCAGCCTCTGCTCAGCGTGCTCATATTTGATTCTTTATTGGTATAAACTGTAAATATATAAACATATTTATGTCTACATACTGTGTAATAATGTGACAAAAAGAACTGCAGATTTTTCAAAGACATGTACAGCTGCAGACTGAGTCTAATGGATGGATGGGTGGGGGTCTTTACTCCAGCCTCGCGTGGGAGATACTGTATGTCCCTTATTTCTCAGCAGCCTAATGAATGAGCAGCAGAAAGCCTCCTGGGGATCCCCTGCATGCAATCGGCTGCTGTGGGGTGGGGGGGCAGCCATGCGCTAATATTAGCCTCTATGTTGAGTGGCTGGATCACACATCCACACGCTATGCTTAGCATGTCTGAACCATGCAGTACCATAGCATGACTCTGCATTCATGCTAGACTGTCTGTGTGATCTACTGTGGTGGTCACTTTTACAAATGCCTTCACATATGGAAGTACTGTGTAGCCAAAACGTGTATTTAAAAACATTACAATATATTAAAAAATATATAAAAATTATAAAAATACTTTGGCAGTTGTAAATATAGGTACATATACATGTACATTTTAGTGTTGCTTAATTCTGATTTTAAAGGAAACAGGTGCAGTATAGACTGAATCACAATGTTTGTTTGCAGTAAGTTTCATAGGGAAACCCCCCACATTAGTTCATAAAATTAAAGAGTGCTGACCAAACACTGCCTTAGTTAGTTAGTTTTTAGACACTTAAGAAAAGGCCCACTTAAAAACTTTAAGTGTTCACTATATTTAGAATATTGTCCCCACTTTACCTTGCTGCAGACAGCTCTTTCTGACGGGAAAGTAAAGCTATTATCTTAAAGCCACCAGACTCAATTGACAAACACAGCAATTTTACTTCACAGAATAAGGGAGTTGCTGGTCTACCACTGCCTGAATTGGTTAGTCTGTAAGGTAAAGTGAAGAAAATATTCCAAATATAGCTTACACTTAAACCTGTATTGATTTTTAGGTGGGTCTTTTTAGAAAAATATGTTTAGCTGCAGCCCCTGTCCACAACAGTACATTGCTTAGCTTCTGTGCAGGTAGATTTGATCAATCAAAGATGCTAGCAAAGCAAAACACTACATAAAATAAACACAGCAGAAACATCAGATAGGTCGGACCACTATATATAACACTGTGTCTTTAAATGCATTTACTTTATGATAACAGAAATAAACAAGTGGGTCGGTTGCCAGTTGAAGTGATTGTTTTTGGTCTATACGACAAGTCTTTTTAAGGTTAACCTATACATAAAGAAATAGAATTTTTATTTACATCGAGCCAATAAGCAGAATTAGTTTGTGGGTGGGAAAGTCAGGGACGGATCACATTGTTGCCTCTGTAGCTACTCCTATCCGTTGGTTGGGGTTTAAGCATGGAAGGGGGATAGGATCAGGACAAAACTGTGTGAACCTCGTTTGCTTTCCTTGGTAAGCTCCTTTCTGGTATGTGAAAAGGAAGCGGCTGCTGACATCATGTGTATCAGAGGAGACTGCAGTATAGAAGAAATGCATTTCAACCCAGTCACAATATGAATAACTACAACATTTGATTACTAATACAAAAAGTAGATATTACAAAATTGTAAATTGTATTTTACCAACAAACTGGCGAAGATGATTTAACCTTGAATTACATCCCTGTATACACCCAGAACCAGTGGCCAGTCTCTGAAAATAACTCCCATCTGCAGCCTCCGCTGTACTGGATGCAGCTCCCAGTAGACCATGCTACCTCCAGCTCCACACCAGGAGCATATCTCCCAAACACAGTGCAGATTGCACTATCTCCCCACGGTGAAGGCTAAGACGGGCTTACAGGCTGGCCTTCTAACATCACCTGCCCTTGACGCCAGACTGTGGCGCACCTACAGAAGTGCTGGCCTACAGTATATTTGCCCACGCCATGCAGGCTGTCTGCTCTCCTTACGATGAATCATAGCACAACACAAATCGATTAAGCAGCAGCTGGGATTATTTTAAACATTTTCTCTCAAATGTTAATTTTATTGGAATAGGGATTTATTTTTTCTCCTCCTTACTTGTACAAAGGCCAAGAGGATCAGCCCATGGTTGTGTGATGAATGTGTATCCTTGTGAACCTGTGTGGAGATACCATGGGGAATCAATGTGTTCTTCCAGTCAGCCTCAATGACGTGGTCAGGCTATGGCAGAGAGGGGACTGATCTATTTGAGCAGACACAATGTCAATTCTGACGTCTGCTCAGTGTAAGATGTAGCTGCTCCCGTGTCCTTCACACATGCATCCTTGGTACGCTTGCTGCTACAGGCTATTAATTATGGCACAGTCATCATTCAGACCAAAAGTCATGATTTTTAACAGCCACTGGAGAGTTTAACTTTAGCCATACTACATTTTGAAACAACTGTATTTAATAACTAAAATGTCTGGCTTGACAGTTACCAAAAATACAGATACAGATACTGCAGCTGCAAACACTAATACTACTTCTACTGTACGGAGATGTGCTCATACAATTACTTGCATACTTGGTAGCTGTCATATCACCACTGAAATGTAAAGGTTCTGTATTCGATATTCAGAGCATTAATGCAGCAGCAAACGATTATTTGTTATGTAAAGACAGTGAAGTATTGGTGTCAGAAGGAGAAGGAGAAATCATGCTACCACTGTGTATGCTGTAATCAGAGCTTCTCTGTTCTTTGTTGTGTTAAGCCGGTTCGGCTGAGCCTGCACTTTAGTGCATATGTGTATCCCACTGGCTAGCTTATCGCTGCTGCTTTGCACTGTGCACATATTTATTTTATTTTTTTACTTGTTTCTGGCAAAAGTATTATGTGTATACATACAATATGCAATATGTGATAGGTGACCACCCAGATCTGCTTTTTCATCCTTTTTGTAAAATAGGTGCATAAAGAGAATTTTACTGTGGGTATCCCTCAAGAGATAGCACGGGTGCCCCCCACCATACACA